TTTAATGTAGCCAAGTCAAAAGTAATGCTGCTGGGCAAAAAGAAGGCATATAATATTAAGCCCTGAAAGACTGTGTTCATGCAAGCAGTGGTGCAGAAAAGGATCTGAGCATTGTATCTTCACTATCTTAATATGAGTTTCTGATGCAGTGCACTGTTCAAAGAAGTGGATGTTGATAAATTCAAATGGCAACATGCAGAAAAAAAGAGGGAGATTGTCTGGCTTTTTAAACGTACGCCAGTACACTTGTGCACAGGTGGGAGCTCAAAGGGAGGAAGCAAAAGTAATCACAGGATTAAAACCAAACAAACCAACCAACAACTGGCTGGGTTCAGAAGCTCTATCTTTCCATTTAGCAGCACAGAGGTTGAGAGGTGTCATGTCTATATAAAAATACCTATATATGAACAGATACATACTGCATATGCAGATATACATACACAGATGTTGAAGAGATCTGGTGGTTTAATGAGAAACAATGGGGAATTGGGCAGGTTCAACCTTGAAATCCAAAGCAGCGCTGTAGTTAAATTAGTAGTAAAACTTTAGGAGAAGAGAGCTGGTGGAATCATTTATAATCTTTAAAGATAAAATTAGATATTTCTTTTTGTAAGACGTACTTTAGTCAGACTTCTGGGAACAATTAATTGGGTTATATAGAGAGATTACAGCTGAGTGACTGCAGTAGTCACTTCAGGCTCTAAAACATGTAAATCCATAAACAATATTAAAAAAAACACATATGCAGATATATTTCAGGGCAAGTTTAGTGTCTGTTCCGGGGCCATTGTTGTCTCCCAGTTAGCATGGCTTCAGGTTATGGCTTAATTACATCTTATTGTTCCTGTATGTTGTTAATATGCACAGTAGTTTAAACATTGTGTGTGCAGAGATACTCGGTTTCAATTTCATATATACATGGGGTTTATTTGGATGGTTCCACATACTGGTAATAGAAGAACAGGTGTTCCCTCTGAGCTAATCGGGTATTCATTTATCCTGTTTTTATATAGCTAATGTATTAAGCTTCCCTGCGTGTATGTTTGTTTTCATTTCAGGGTCTGTTCAGGAAAACTATTACTGATAAAAATCTTTGTTTCAAACAGCATAGAGTAGGAGCGCTGAGCTGAAATTGAATTTGTGAAGTGTTTCTGTTACAGCATCGTCATTTTTATAGCGCTCCAGTGAGGGACAAAGAGAGGACTTCTCAAAACATTTATTCTTGACTTCAGACTTAAGCCTCTTAGTACTTTCTTTTCTAAAAGTTATTTCAAATATAAATGTGGTGATAAAATCAGAGCTTTCTTGAAGCTTGTTACTTTTAAGTGTGTATTCATAGTTTCATAGTTCTGGATTGCCAGGTACCAGTCGTCAGATCTGTTCAGAACTTGCAGCTCATTCTTTGTGGGGGTATCAAAGCAGCCTTCCCTATCTTCTTGTTTGTTTTTAATGAATTGACATTGACTTGTAATTGCCTGCAAAACTTTTTGTCTTGCTTCTAGTCGGAGTTGTGCCTGACTGACACACTGACATGGAGCTTAGAGGTGCCTGGGCATCTCCAATTTAAAAATCTATCATTTCGGCATTTCCAACTTGATCTTGGAAATTTTAGATTCAGTGCTGATGGGTAGATTTTACTGATTTGTTAAATTGGTTTCTGGCGCTTAGGTGTTCAAATTCTGCATAGTGGGGGAGCAGCGATGCACTCTTTTACGCCCAGTTTGGTGTGTGCTTCTGAAAGGGACAGTCATGGAGGACAGCGTGCAGATGTCTTTGAGGACATCATGGGGGAGATCTGTCATGATGCAACTTTCTAGAATATTAGAGTTCTGGTTTGCTTTACAAAAATATCGTCTGGGCTTGGAGGCGTTCCTAATCCGGGGAAGACGGAAGTCAGTATTGATCACTAGTCATTTGTGTTGGCTATGGGAGAGGAATCATCAGGGACTGTATACGCAGGCTGGCAGGGATGTCCTTTGGCTTGATGATCCAACAGAGGTCAGAAGAGAAATGATTCAGCTATCCAGCTGAAGGAATTTTGGCAAGCTGCTTGGGCCCAGGGATAAATACTAAATAGCTACTTATGCCTATCTGAGAAAAACTATTCTTTCCAGATTTGATGTAGCGTATTCCCATCTTTGTGTGGTGGCTGTCAAAGTCTCTAACGTACAGCTGGGCAGTTCATGCATGGAAGAACTTGTTGCCTTCGGTTCTCCCTTAGAGGCTTATAAACATTAGCCACCCAGAGGCTACTGATTTAGCTAAGCATGCTATAAATTGACACTGCATGTAAATGAGCTATCATGCCGTGTTGTGGTGATTAATGTAACTGTAATGGCACACATTATCTTTTAAAATTACGATAACCTGGGGAAATCATTTAAAGATAACCTGTTCTGTCTGTTCTTCTGAGGAGAATATCTGCATTTTGGCTCCATATAGCTTATATTTACTCCTAATGCAAAAAAAAAAAAAAAAAAAAAATAAAGAGAGCAAACTGTATACTAGGACCATATTCAAACTTGCATTGCATTTACTCCTGCATGTTAATTTTCTTATGCAAAAAACCTGCTTTTGAGTTGCCTTGAGACTGGCCTTTTTTTAATAGGCACTCTCCAGAAATCATACTGGTTTTGTACAAGCTCATGATTCAGGTGTCATGCTGGTACTTAACTAATTGTTGCTGAACCCTTCATACTTCTGTCATGCTGTTAAGGCCCTGGCAGTAACTGCTTGAGGCTTGGTTTGACTTAATTTAAATCTTACAGGAATTTGTCTTTGTTTAGCTTTTCATTCTGAAAGTATGTACTTTTCCTTGCAGGTTTTGCTTGTGCCATAATTCAATATTTGTTCCAGTTTCTAAACACAACAGCTGATGAATACTTATGTTTTCTCTGATCTGTTGGTACAAGTTTCATTAATTTATGTATGGTTAAACTTGCAGAAAAATTTCTTTCTTGTTTCAAATGAAGTTTAAAGCAGAAAAAAAATAGCTGCGGAATGCCTTTGGTTTTGCTAGTTCCCTATTTTGGTCCAAATACTGAGAAAGCTGAGATTTTTGAATGTGAAGCATTAACCAAAAATGCTGCAGTAAGTATTGCAGAATCCCAGATGTTCAGATCCAAGGCGCCAATAGGTACATTTCCCCCTTTTTACTTGGGAATCCTTTGGGCTGTCTACCCTCTTTTGCCCTGTGCTCTAACCCACAAACAACTCTGTTCTGCTAATTCTGATCACTTTCCTCCTCTCCCTGCTTTTTCATATCAGGGATAGTAGAAGGAGGAGCTCAGGAATTCTTGGGGAAAGACAAACTGTAACGTGTGTATTCCTGGAATAGTTATTTGACTTCTCTTCATGAGACCAGAAAAGTCTTTTCATGGAGGGGCTCTTGAGAGAAGTGAATGAGTCAGGGGAAGAGGCTGGAGAAGGGAGAAAATCTCCTAATAAATGCTAGTTATCACTTGGCAGGTATGCACACAGGGCAAGTAGAGTTCAGTATGTATCAGCACAGGCTATAACAAGTGCTGTATCTGTTAAGGTTGAAAGCCGTGCGATTTGAAAACATGAGATTTACATATACAGTGAAGGCTTCTGTGAGAGTATGTTTTACTGTAACTGTAGTGAAATACACCCTCTTGTGGCAAGAAGAAAAAAGTCCAAGCAGAAACCCGTGCGACCTCTTTTTTTTTTTTTTTTCCCCCCCTATGCTCACTGGTTTGCCTTACTTACTCTGCTTTTGTCTTTCCCTTGTGCTCAGTGAATATTGCCCACTGGTATGCACCACGTGTGCTTTCTTACAGTTTTCTGTTGTTCCATCTTTCTGTTTATGCAGTACCTGAATGTGTTCTGTCTGTCTTGCAAATTCTAAAACTTCACTCTGTCTATCTCGATCTGGTTTTATCGGTATTTGGATTGTATTTAAACTCTTGGCTTTAAAGTGCCCTGTCTTAGTAAGTCGCCAACATGTTGAAAATATGCCTTACAGACTAACTTTAAAACATTTACAGGAGTAAAAGGCTGGAAAAATAAATAAGGATGTTGAAGAACATACCAGTTTTCTTTCTTAAATAGCTTAGTTTGTCTGAACTGCTATGAAGGGGTCACGTATAGATGGGATTAGGAGATAACATGCTGCTTTTCCCAGCTGTTTGATTAACCAACTTAGAGATGGGTCAAATGCAGTAGCAGAGTGCAAAGAAGGCACATCACCTTCAAAGTGCAGAAAAGGCCCTACAGCATGTTTGCAGTTTATCAGATTTGCTGCATAATAAGCTGTACACTCCATTCAGCACTATAATTAACCCAGGAAAGCACTCGGTTCAGTCTTTGCTGATAGCATGAACCTCACAAAGCCAAGCAGTCTCAGCAAAATACTTCTAAATAAGATTAAGCAAAGCGAACCAACCATGAAATAAAATGTAGGCTAAGTGACGAGCAAATATTATTTGTTGCTTGCATTTAGTACCAAGTTCTGTACTCGGCATGAGGTGTCCAGGCATATAATGTGTGAATAGCACTGGCAACTGTTAACAAGTGCTGACAGACGAGACCTTAAGTAGATATCATTAATGTTTTCCCTGTGCAAAGGAAAATAACCAAGTGTTGTATGAAAAAACTTGTAAATGCATGTTGATGGCATTTCCCGCAACTCCTAAACGGTCGTGGCTTTCAGCCCGTTGATGCCCAGCAGGATTGGGAATTACATGTTGGTGGGCTCATCTGGAACATGGTGGACAGAAGCGGTGGCAGACTGGGTAATGCTGGGATATCAGTGGAAAGAAGAAACAAAAAGACCTGGAGAAAGGAAAGCCAAGGCTGGTGGCAGGTTTGTAAAGTGACAGGTTCCTTAGACATGTACTTAAAGAACTTTGTCAGACAGCAGGCAAAAATTACTGTGTATGTGATGGAGGACAGATAGAGTAGGTATAGACATAGAGAGTCCTGAAATCTAGTACATATTTGAAAAAACAGATCTCATTATTCTTTCTTTCACTTTTCAGGTATCTTGCAATATCTTCAGAACTCTCCCACCTAGTGACAGCAATGAATTTGATCCAGAAGAAGATGAGCCCACCTTGGAGGCATCGTGGCCACATTTACAGGTTTTTGATCATTTATCTCAGAAGAAATGCTTATCATTGCTTAATGTGTCTCATAATTTTCTCAGCTTTTTTTTAACCTGTGAATCAGAACTAGCCTGTGAGACACTAACATTTATTAATATTGTTCATTGCTATAACATTGTACCTACAAAGACAGGAGAGTACTTTGTGAAATTTGCAAAATGGTAAAGCTTTCTTTCAAAATTGTATTGATGGTGTCCCTCGTATTCCTGTTTTCCTTCATGAATTTAAAAATTATTTTGCTTTCCAAACTGTTCTCATGCACAATTTTTCAGCAGCTTCAGCCAAGAGCATTGTGGGGATGATACTGCTAGCAGATTTGCTTTACTGAGGGTAGTTAATTTTCATACAAAAGTACACAGGTGTTGGCAGCTGATCAGAAAAATGACTGAGAATCTGTGTCCCTATCGCAGTCTTCCTTCCTCTCCCCGGGTCGAGGTTTGCATTCAGGTGTTGGTAGCAGGGTGCATGCTCACTGCTGTGTATCATCCCTTCCTCTGTACCTCAAGTGGCAACACAAGGTATTTTGAACAAAGAACATAAACTAATTTTGGAGAAAGCATCATTGATGCTAATGCAGTAAATTCCTTTATAGAAAATATAGATGCAGATCCTGCCTGTGTTAGTCAGGACAATGACTTGCACCACGAGTAAATTTAGAAGAATTTTGCCTGAGTAACAGTTTGTGGAGTCTGGGAGTTTCTGTGAGCAAAGGAGCACGACTGATCTCAGCTTGAAATGAGGATTTTATTTGACAGTTGCATGCACAATCCTTGCCTGTGAGCAGTTTGTTTCACTCTTTTGTGCTCTCAAATCTAGAATCTGTTGAAATGTAGGTTTCGTCCATCATTTATATTTAAATTTCACAAAAATAAGAATCTTAAAAGCTTCAAGGCAGCTCTGAACAGCTCTGCCTACCTAGAAACAGCACAGGCATACATATCTGTTATCTTATGGTCGCTGACACTAGTGCTGTAGTTCTAAAAGTAATTATTTACATGGAAATGATGGAATTCCTTAGCGAATGATTTACCAGTGTCAGGAAGAAATGCACCAAAGTATTTGTCAGGAGTTGATGGAATTGATTTCCTGATGATTTAATACTAGTTATGTAAGCTGTCACTTTTTCCATGTCATATTTCTAAACCTCTTTCCCCGTTTTTGATTTCCTATTGTTTCCCTTCAGAAGTCAGAGAACACTGACATAAAGCAGCAGCAGCAGTATTGCAGCATATTGGTGTTTGCCTGGAAAAGTTTAAAATTATTTTAAAATGTAATTTTTTAGCTTCCTTTCTCCTTTCAGTATCAATATTCATACTCACTGAAGCCAGGAGGGAAAGAGTTTTCAATGGCTGCCCTTCTTGAAAAGGTTCAGCAAAGAGAATTGCTAGCTGGTAGCTCATCTGATCAGTGACAGGTCAGAGTTGCTGTCGTAATTACGAGGCCACAGCAGTGCCTGTTTCACTTCACTTCCTTTTTGCCTGGTTCTTATACTCTTCTTTTTCTCCACTAAATGAAAAGTCTGTTGCCGTCCCACTGAATAGTTTAAGCAGAGTTGGAATTGCATGAAAGTAAGCAGGTTTTCCCCAGCCCTGAGGCTAACCTTTACAGTAAGTTAGGAACTTCCGAATAAATTCCGGTTTGTATTCTTCTTCTGTGTTTCAAGTTCTAGTAGAACAGTACTCTAAGCAGTTTCTAATTTAATTTAAATATTTCCAACTGTTTCACCAACCCTTTCAGAATTGTAATGTCTGTATTTGATGTGACTTCAGCAGTTCAGAGGGCAGTTTAAATGTGCTTTCCAATTACGCTAGGAAGCTTTACAAGATGATAACAAGCATTATGAGATGGCAGTGCCTGTTCTTGGTGATGAAATGTCTTTGACTGGAGTTAAATAAGCAAAACTAACTTAAAAAGCCCATGCAATTAATTCTAACTCCACAGTAACGATTTGATAAAGGAGAGAAATCTTTTTCCTCTTTTTAACCTTTTGGTCCGTGGAAAAATAAGTATTTTATTTTCTAGCAAAAGAATTTAGGGAAATACTTAAAACTATAAAGAGTAATCAAGTCATAAACTAAACCATGGTTGTTTTGGTTTGTTTTTTTTTCTTTTTCAGCTTGTAAATGAGTTTTTCATACGATTTTTGGAAAGCCAAGAATTTCAGCCCAGCATTGCCAAAAAGTACATAGATCAGAAATTTGTATTGCAGGTAAGCTGATCTGTTTTCTTTAAGGCTTCATTTTGCTTTTGAAAAAGATTTTGGTTTAGAAGTTGAATGTGTAACTTTATTTGCAACAGAAGAAAGCTAAACAAGCATATACAATGAAAGTTTTCAGTCTGTGGAGGTAGGGGAAGTGTGTGTGTGTGTGTGTGTTTATATGTCAGTCTCTGTTGCTGTAGATATATACAATAGTTGGGTTGGCTGCAGTTTTGATACCTTAATCAAAATATTTGCCTTACTGGTTATGAGAGGGAGCTGAAACAGTAACTGTTGAAAAATGAAAGGTTTACTACCAAGTAGTCTAAAAATGCTGCTATCTAGAGAGACTACTTAAACGCCGCTTTTAATGTGTCTTAATATTGTTAAAATATTTCTGTTGGAAGGGGAGAATATTTCTCCCTTCTATCTCTGCTGGAGAGCTGGCAACAGGGGCAGAAGTTCATTAACAAACCTATTCCCAGTTTGAAAGCAGTACTGAAAACAGTGACGCTGTAGTGGTCAGGGAGGAAGTAAATCAAAAGGCCATATAAAGTTCAAGCTCTGTTAAAAGCATGGAAGAAGAAGTAGCACCAATAATCAACAACACTGGCAAAGAATGGTAGCTTTATTTTGTAGCTTGCTTGCCATCTTATGGCTAAATGGAAGAGATGGCCTGTGTCAGTTCGTCAGCTGGTAGTCAGGTATTTTACACATATTTCATCTTTCTCCTCCTTGCGTACAAGCCAGGCTTCTTGTGTGCTTTGTTATTTCACTTGAAACTACAGTAGTTGGTCTTCTCTATTGAGGAATTTTCGTCTGGGCCTTGACAGATGCCAGAACAGAGGTGGCTGAAGGAAGATGTTTTCTGGGATAAGCCAGGGAACTCCACAGATACGACTTTTGTCTTCAGCTTTCGGGAATAGTCTTGTCTTGTGTTTTCTGTTCCCATTGTGAATTTTTGTATAACTGCAAAGTCAGAAAGAACTTTGTGTTTAATGTTGTCTATAGCTTGCTTTTGAAATCAGGGAAATTTAGAAAGATTCTACTTAGTTAGAAAAGGGAGTTTCCTTGCAGGCTGAGGCTTGAATAAAAGCCAGACTAGAAGTGGCAGGAGATACTCAGCATTTCTGAAGACCTTTCTCTCACCCCTTTGTCACGGAGCTTTTATCTTTTAGTGCTCAGGCAATAAAAGTAGTGCTTTTACTGTCCTTGTATGTTATTCATATGAAAAATACCTGAAGAACGTAGTTAAGGGAGTAATTTCCATCCTTAAATTCAAAGAAGGGACTTCATTTTCCTTATTAATATCACAAGACCTTCTTCACCCTACAAAAGCTGAATACTGATTTGAACAAGGGAGTGTTCACCAATCTGATCATCCAGTACCTGGTGGAGATGTAAGAATATGCGTGGGGGGTAATCACTCTTGACAGGTTTTTCCAGACTGATTTTATTTTCTTTAGATATAGCAGGATTGCATTAGAAGGAATGCTTGTGTTCTGCTTCAAAATCTAGAGAAAATAATTCCTAGATGCTCCTGTGATGTGCTGCTGAATTTGGTCATGACTGGTGGCATCTCACTCATGCCCTTTCAAGGCATTCAAACCTGTTACAATTTGGCACAGGAGAGTGGGTCTAAAACAAGGATTTTTTTTTTTTTTTAATTATTAATCCTGTTAGTCTTTAATAAATTACTAAATGAAAGAATGGTATACTGAAAGAGGGAAATACGAGATTTTGAAACCTGCGTATCTGAAAATGTACGATATGACAATTAAGAGTTCGAAAGAATTCTAAGAATTCGTAAGTTCTTGCCACATGGTTAGGTGATGCGTTTTTATATATTGCTATGCACAGCACGTCAATTTAAAATTCACATTTTTCTATAAAAAGTTCTGTTGAGCCTTATATATACATGCAAGCAGATATATTTCCGTGTGTGTAAGTGTGTTTAGCCTGTAGGAACTGGGGTGTCCTTCCACTTCTTATTGTTTTTGTTGTGGGTCTAGAGTAACACCTAAAAATCTGTGACTACAGATCACTTACATAGGAAACCAATTTGAGACTTAGGAATATTAAGCATGTTTGGTGTTTCATGACACTGACAACACAAGTGTGACAGTCTTTGAAATCAGCTTTCTCTCTAAATTAATTCGTTTTTTTAAAATGTGAGGAACTTTAATGAAGTGTTTTCTTGGTAGTAAGAATGCCTATATGAAAAGGCATTTCTTTCATTGCCTGGAGCAGGTTGCCCAGAGAGGTGTTGGATGCCCCATCCCTGGAAACATTCCAGATCAGGTTGGACGGGGCTCTGAGCAACCTGATCTAGTTGAAGATGTCCCTGCCCACGGCAGGGGGGTTGGACTAGATGACCTTTAGAGGTCCCTTCCAACCCAAACTATTCTATGATTCTATGATCAAAAAACGATACAGTTTTTTAAATGGGCATTTTTCAATCTTTTTCTTGTTTGCTTGCTTTTTGCTTTTGTTTTTTGAATATAGAAGTGTTTCTGGCTTTCAGCTGTATGTTTTGATAAAATGCTGTACTTAACAGTGTAACTGTTCATTTCTAAAGCCTGCTTATATACAGTCTGAAATGGTTGGCAGTGGTTGCTAAGAGACATACTATTCAAATATATCCACAAGTGTCTGTGTTATGTAGGTTGCTATTTTGGACAATTTATTTCCCTTTTCTATGTATGTTTAGTGTCAGAATAATCATGTTTAATTATGGAAGTCTTGCAGCTTATCTGTAAAAATAAGACTTTATTGTTGAAACCCGATAACAAATTGGACATATCAAAATAATTATCTTTTTTTTTTTTTTTTTTTTTTAATGAGAGACTGAGTCTTAGTTCAGCAGTGTTTCCACAGAGGATCTGTATAGCAGAACTGGAAATATAAATATTTTGCTCTTAAAAGCAATCCAATAAGAAAATTAAAAACATAAGTGTTTCCAGCTGTTTGCTGTCTTTGGGTGAAACTTGCTATTTGGGGAAGAATGAGGTGACTATTTATTTATTTAACTGTAGAATTAATTGAACAAAGCGATGTGTTTATAACCTCTGGAGGGCAGCTGACAAACCTTACTGTTTCCTCATGAAATTCCCACCACAGATTCATACTGCAAGGAAAAGATAGTGGGATCTCATTACAAGCTACAGAAACATCCAAAATAATGAAGGACAATATGTACATCAGTCCTAAACCTGGATGTTAGAAAGCAAAATCTCAGACAGCTTAACAACTTTTAATCATCTTTTTCTGTCTTTTTTTCTTTTTCACCTCCTCAAAGTTGTGTAGCAATTTAACAGAGATCAGGTAGTATACATACACTGGCATATCTACTTATAAAAGGTATTTATAATTTATCTATTTGTGAATCCAAGATATTGGATAATGGATAATTTGGGTGAGGAATTGGTTAGATGGTCGCATCCAGAGGGTAGTGGTCGATGGCTCAATGTCCAGATGCAGATCAGTGACAAGTGGCGTCCCACAGGGGTCCGTATTGGGACCAGTACTGTTTAATATCTTCATCAATGACACAGGCAGTGGGATCGAGTGCACCCTCAGCAAGTTTGCAGATGACACCAAGTTGAGTGGCGGGGGCGACACACCAGAGGGACAGGATGCCATCCAGAGGGACCTGGACAAGCTCGAGAAGTGGGCCCGTGTGAACCTCATGAGGTTCAACAAGGCCAAGTGCAAGGTCCTGCACCTGGGTCAGGGCAACCCCCAGTATCACTACAGGCTGGGGGATGAAGGGATTGAGAGCAGCCCTGCCGAGAAGGACTTGGGGGTACTGGTGGATGAAAAGCTGGACATGAGCCAGCAATGTGCGCTCGCAGCCCAGAAGGCCAATCGTATCCTGGGCTGCATCCAAAGCAGCGTGGCCAGCAGGTCGAGGGAGGGGATTCTGCCCCTCTACTCTGCTCTGGTGAGACCCCACCTGCAGTACTATGTCCAGCTCTGGAGCCCTCAGCATGGGAAAGACACGGACCTGTTGGAGCGGGTCCAGAGGAGGGCCACAAAAATGCTCAGGGGGATGGAACACCTCTCCTGTGAAGAAAGGCTGAGAGAGTTGGGGTTGTTCAGCCTAGAGAAGAGAAGGCTTTGGGGAGACCTTATTGCAGCCTGTCAGTACTTAAAGGGGGCTTATAAGAAAGATGGTGGCAAACTTTTTAGCAGGGCCTGTTGCGACAGGACAAGGGGGAATGGCTTTAAACTAAAGGGGGGTAGATTTAGACTAGACACAAGGAAGAAATTTTTTATGCTGAGGGTGGTGAAGCACTGGCCCAGGTTGCCCAGAGAGGTGGTGGATGCCCCATCCCTGGAAACATTCCAGGTCAGGTTGGCCAGGGGTCTGAGCAACCTGATCTAGTTGAAGCTGTCCCTGCCCACGGCAGGGGGGTTGGACTAGATGACCTTTAGAGGTCCCTTCCAACCCAAACCATTCTATGATTCTATAATTTTGTTCTCTACCATTCCTGTAATAATTTTCTGACAGCATCTTACACATTTGTAAGACCTCTTTGGCAAACTGTCTTCGTTTCTCTTGCAAGACAGGTACTGGTTGACAGTTACTTTCTTTTTCATGCAAGAGGGATACTGGTTGCTTATGACTGCTACCTCAAACTTCCCTGTTTTCTGTGCATTTGGGGGTTGGGGGTGGGTGTTTTTTTGTTTTTTATTGTTGTTTTGTTTTTGTTTGTTTCTTTGGTTTGTTTTGTTTCGTTATTAAATAAAGTTTACCTTCAAACTTATTCCAAATGTCCACCAGAATAGCCAATGTTGTAGTGTCAAAAAAGATAAAGAAGGGGTAGGGGGAAGCTCATACTTTTGTGGTACAGGATTCAAGGGAAATAGAACAAAGATCTGCAGGTGATATTCCTGCTGCTCATTTCATGCCTTAATTCTTAGAGGCAGCTTCAGGTGTTGGTGTTTTGGGATATATTTTGTACAGTACCAGACACCGGGTGGCGTTCTCTTTTGACCAAGTACCACATAATGATTTTGCTGTTTTAAAATCTTACGAAGAGTTGCTTAGTAAAAGTGGGTTTTCTGTTGTGGTTTGGTTTTTTGAGTGGGTTGTTTCTTTGTTTTTCCTAAACTGGATGTTGAAGTTACCATTTTGTTCAACCTGGAGGATTAATTCCCCCTGATGCTTTGAGTTGTATCGATTGGTGGAGATCCTGTAACAGCAGATGCAGTGCTGGCATAGACTTCACTGTTGAGTCTTTCCACAGCGTGAAGGCCATGCAATCACTAGGAAGGCTTAAGAGCTCATAATATAAATTACAAGCAATTAGAAAAATGTGACCTTGACACAATGTTGTGGGAACAAAATATTAGAGCAAATGAGGATCTTTTAGTTCTGCAGAGTGAAGGAATGGTGGATGGTAAGAGGCAAACTGTCTTATTTTGTAGATATGACAGCATCTAAGAATTTATTTTATTTATTTTTGGGGAGAAGGAAGGCAGCATTTTGGAGCCAGTTAATCAAAAGTTTATTAGTAGTTTGAAGATTTCCAAAGTTGTGTTATGTCAGAAGTGGAAATTAATAAACTGAGTTTCGTGATATTTCAACACCTTGGGTAACACGGATACCACATTCTTACATGCATGTGCTTTCATGAATTTAACTTTTTATATAGAAGTCTGTGTGTGTCATACTTGTCAAATGTCTACTGTTTCAGTTCTCTTTTTCCTTTAAACACAGCTGTTGGAGCTGTTTGACAGCGAAGACCCTCGAGAACGAGACTACCTAAAAACAGTCTTGCACAGAATTTATGGCAAGTTTCTGGGTCTTAGAGCATTTATCCGAAAACAGATTAATAATATTTTTCTACGGTAAGTTGTGTCAGGGAGTACTTTTTGCTTATGAACATTTTAGGAAACTGATATATTACTTATATTTAACTTGTCTTTTTTTAGATTTGTTTATGAAACTGAACACTTCAATGGCGTAGCTGAACTGTTGGAAATTTTAGGAAGGTAAACGAGTCTTTATTTATTATCTATCTTGAACTTCCCTTCTGGACACGTCAGAAGAGTGTTGGATTCGGAAAAAGTATTACTATAAGCCCTGATTTTGAAAACAGATGTGCGCACATGCTCATCTTTAAGCCCATGTGCAAATCTCTGTCACATCTTTGCCAAGAGTATATAACTGGATGCAAGTTACAGCCAAAAGTGTTGGATTGATTTTGTGTGTGCGTATGTGTGTGTGAAATTTTGTGCACTACATCCTTACATGGTGCAGAATTTTTTATTTTTTGAGCATACTAGCAGTGTGAGTATTTTGAGTAAATCTAATTCTGGTAAGTTAATTACTCAAGAACACCTTGCTTACATGAATTTACAGACCAGATAGACAAGGTCTTATCTGTTTGGCAACAGGTTTGTGCAGCTGTTTATATGATTATTCGAAATCGGAGCTGAATTGCTACCTAGATATGTACTGCACTGCTAATATGAAGCAGGACAAAAGTCAGCACCTGTTTGCAAATGGCATGAGCCTGCTATTTGTAAGCAGGTGTTGACTGCTAATTTATTTTAATCTAGAAAGTGCTCGTTCAGAACTCAAGAATGTTTTCTGTGATGATAACACTAACAAATATTTCTCTTCTAATTTCTAGTATTATCAATGGTTTTGCTTTACCTCTTAAGGCAGAGCATAAACAGTTTCTGGTGAAGGTGCTGATCCCTTTACATACTGTCAGGAGTTTATCACTCTTCCATGCACAGGTAGAAATTATAAAAATATTTTATGCTCAGTTAGAATGATACTTTTTTTTTTTTAAGGTTGCTTTGGAAATTTAATTGCATAGCACATAAAAGGTGGGGGGAAAGTTTTGAAATGTGGAAAAATGCAATAGGTTTTTAAAAATTGATTTAATGTGCTTTGTATGATAAATGTCTTGCTTCCATTCTGATTAGATAATTAAAAGTGTAACATACTTCTGTAACATTTTGGGGATTTTGTTTAGTAGTTAAACTCTCTCTTTAGGTTTTCCTCTCTGCTATTTTCTCATTCTCACAAGTTTGCCTTTCCCATTCCCTCTCCCAAGAGGATGTTTGGGTTTCCTTAGTCTTGTTCTGTCAAGGATCTTCTTCACCCTGGCAACTTTCTGAGTACTGATACCCAGATTTTTGCATAATCTTTAACATTCTCCCTCACAGATTTCTTAATATTGCATTTATGCTGTCATATATCTTTATACATTCAGCTCTCATGATGTAATTTTTCCTCTGATAAGTGATACCTGTTGCCTTTCTCGTTGATTTTCAGATAGTGCACTCTTTCTTATGCTGATAAAGCCGTGCTTTATAAATATGTTATTCCAGGTTTAGCTGTGTCGGCTCATCTTGCAAGAGTTTTCATGATTTTGCCGATGTATAAAATGTGTAAAAAAGACACAGTTTCAGAGCGTAACAGAAGCTTCAAAACATTGGTTGTATGACTGTATTTAGAATTCCAAGTTGCTCGGATTTGTATTGTATATGCTACTTTGTCACCCTAATTTTTTTTGTAATCTGTTCTGTTGTTTCTTATGAACTGAACTCTGAGTGGATCTGCACAGTGCAAACTATGCGTCTCAGTTTAAAATTGGATGCAATTTGAGAAAGCTGTATAGCATCTTGCCTTGAGTCTCTTTTTTTAAAAAAAATGTTTCTTTGTGGTTTCTTTATAGAAATGTTCTAACTTCATTTTCTTAAACCTTTACCTCTTCACAGCTGGCGTATTGCATAGTACAGTTTCTGGAGAAAGACCCCTCACTCACAGAACCAGTAAATATTTCTTTCATACTTTTTTTTTTTTTGCATCATAAACAGCTTACCCTGTTGAGAGAAAAGTAAAAAATCTAACTTTTTTTTTCCCTTCTAATTTAGGTCATTAGAGGTTTAATGAAATTCTGGCCAAAAACCTGCAGTCAGAAAGAGGTAAGTGATATGCTAGTATTAACGAAATGTAAGAGTTATTTTCTTCTACGATATATTAGGAGGGGAATCTTTTGATATTTCCAGGTAGTTAGCACATGCTGTGGTGGATCTTGGTATTAATTCTTGTAGGTGATTTTCCGTACTTGAATTCTGTTTTCTTGGGCAGTTTTGACTATGTAGAGAAAAGTTTGATAACCATGGTTTCTATTCACAAAATAAGCACTGGTTCTTCTGCAGAGAATTTTTTTTTGTTTTAGAAAGGAGAAAATAAACATAGTTGAGGATAGATTGGAAAACTGTTAGATTTGGAATTTTTTATATGTGAAGATACTGTTTTTCCAGGGAGGATGAAAGATATTTTATTGTCTGGCGTTTACCTAGTAAACACGTAAAAGATGCAGTTAGACATTTGCATTTTTATTTCAAATTCTTGATGCAAATCTGAGTTTCCCTAATGAGATTTTGTGACACATCAAAACCGTTACTTTGAATATTGCTTACAAAAATGAGGTAAAATTAAGAGACTCCTTAGTTAACACAGTTTAAGCCTTGGCCAAATTCTTTGTCTCTATGAGGCTAGGTTTTCAGCATGGATATACTGGTGCAATTCTGAATTTTCTTGTAAAGGACTACTTAAAATACAGCATTTGCACACACTCGTCCTCCTCCTTTTGAGAGACTGAATCCAGAAGCTGCTAAAGGTAGAACTGATCACATTTTTTGAGAGAAAATATATATGCTGAGCTAGTGAGGCTTCCATTTCTCCCTGAAGTGGTAGAATTTGAGGGTTACCAGCATTTTGCTGATCAAGATGATTCAGAGGTTTTATATTCAATGCTTCCTTCCTTGCCTTTAGGTCATGTTTCTTGGAGAGCTGGAGGAAATCTTGGATGTAATCGAACCATCACAATTTGTCAAAATCCAGGAACCCTTGTTTAAACAAATTGCCAAGTGTGTCTCTAGCCCTCATTTTCAGGTCAGTGGTAGAGGTTATTGTTCATATAGGAATGTATAGTCTCAATTTCCAACATAACACCCCCCCCAAATATAAATACTATTTTATGTTATGTGGTTTTAAATACTTGTCTTCTGGATTTCTGTGGAAGAGGGTATGTTGCAGTGGAAGTTTAGTTCTGAGCTCCACGAATAACTTGTTAGATGTATCTGGGGTTACAGCACATAACTTGCCATTCTGAGCCACATAAGACCTTAAACTGTATCCAAACAGACTTTGAGCCCTTCTGGCTGTAGGTGACAGGTAGTCACCGTATGGCCTTTGGACTGATAGACCACGTAGGATGTATTTGCTCCCTTTTTTAGCACAGTATTGTGCAGCATTCTTGTTTTCCTACTTACTTCCTCCTGTAAGGAGATGTCTAGTTAGAGGTGATAGAATCCGTAGCCTGTTTTCTTCACATTGCATAATGGGAAGAAGGGGAATGAATAAGTTTTAAATTGAATCATATGTGAAGAGGAGATAGGATTCATGGCCTGTAGTGTCTCCATATTAAGCTAGGTGACCTATCCGGGCACAAAGGCAGATGTGACTGTTGTCAGGTCTTCCTTGGACTACACTTGTTTTTAGCATAATTTAGATCGGTGTTTTCCCTCCTACCCCCGCCCAGCTCCTCCCCAAGGTAATTATTTCATTGGTACCTTCCCCACACTTAAGATATCTCTCCCCTCTTATTCAGCCCAGCTACTGGGCCTTCCCCTGTCTCCTTCCTCTGGTATCCCAGCACTGCTCTCTTCCTTCTGACTGCAGTCACAGGATTGAGGGAAAGGGGCGATGGGAAGTGTGTCTGCTCTCCCTTCCCCTCCACAGCTGCAGCATTAATGCAGTGTCTGCACCTGGTCTTCAGTGAGTAACAACATCACGCTCAGGGGAAAGAGAGAGTGGATGCTGTGGGATCTGAATTACAGGATAAAAACTTAATTCCATTAATGCATGTTATGCTACTGATTAAAGTAGAGTTTTGATTGCAAAATGAATGATTCCTGTTAATTCATCTTTGTGAAATTTCTCTGTGATTTGTTTTTCCTTTAGAAAATTACAAAATTATAGGTGTCTGAATTCCTGTTAATATTTTATTCCTTTGATTCAAAGGTGGCCGAACGAGCGCTGTATTATTGGAATAATGAATACATCATGAGTTTGATAGAGGAGAATTCAAATGTTATACTTCCCATCATGTTTTCCAGCCTTTATAGGATTTCTAAAGAACACTGGAATCCGTAAGTTTTTACCATTACACTTTATCTTACCATTTGACATACCACTGATAAACTTAGGGAATGTCTGCTGAAGAACATCTGAACGGGAGAGATGCAAATTCAAAGCTGGCATGAGCAGGTGCAACTCTGTTAATGCCAATATAAATTAGTCTATACTTGAGCTTGTCTCAAAATGTTTTTAATTATCTGGTATGTGTACAAAAATCAGTACCTTATGGGATAAAAATATACCTTCTCACAAGTTGGAAAAAAGAGAAATTAGATGTTACATTGTTATTGAAAAAAAAGTGTTGCTCATCAAGCATAATGTCTTAAGCCTGGTTGTAAATTGTCTAGAAGAATATTGCTTGGCATTAATAAAGCTTCGTGGCTGTATCATGGATGATATGGATACCTCTGGTAGACCTCTGGTACTGGCATTTTTCTAAATATCTATGAAGCATATACACATTGATATATTCTTAGGTTGGGTTGTTTTTTCTAAATTTATTCAAATACAGCTGCTCTCTGTTACGCACAGTAATAGAGCAGTTGCTTCATATTGATATCCTGTTAATTCGGCGTTTTTATTTTTAAACTGAATGACCTAGTAGGAAGTGTTTTAATGAAAAATACTATTGCAGTTAGATGCCATGTATTCTATACTTTAGTTGAAAAGTTTCTCTTAGTCAAGATGGTTACCATTTAGTAAACCCAGTATTTTTAATGAGCTGCGCTATGTTCAGGTCCCAGTTGCTTTAAGACCTTACTGTAAAGTATTTGTAAAATATTTCATCTTTTCAAACATTAGTCTTTTTGTTCTTTACTTAGCCAAACCCTCAAGTTTATGTGCTTACATGACGAATCTAATGCTACTGGAAAGCTTGTGTAACTAACGCTGGTTACAAAAAGACACTTTCCATGGCATAGTACCGCATTACGAGTCTCCAACCTGCCTGTGCTCCTGCCCAACCTTTTATACTGTGCACTGGGATGCTTCTGGTAGTGAGAATATTCCGGTATCCCAGCTCACAAGAGTTTTCATACCTGCAGGAATTTTGTGCCTTTTGACACACAAGCCAGGTTAACATACATGTAAAATAAAGAAGGTATTTAAAGAATTTTTTTATTTATAAGAACATTTTTAAATGTAGGCAAGAAAAATGAAAGTTTATTGAAAGAGGTGAATGATAAACAGGGGTGCGTGGGAAATGGCACATAGTTTGTCTGCTGTATAGGTTAGCTCCCAAGATTCCTGGCACCTGTAATGTTGATTCACTGCCTCCTGGCTGAAGAGCTGTTTCTTAAGCAGCCCTGAGTCTGAATGTGACAACCATAGCAGTGGGTCAGGAACTGGGATCTCTTGATTGATAATCTATTCCAAATTCTTTGAAAGTTTTTTAGATTTGTTTCTTTCCCTTCTCCCTTTTCAGTTGCTTTGTTGTTTCTTTATCTTAACTCTGCCAGAAAGGAATTTTGACCTCTAGATATTCAGACTATTGGCAGACCCATCTTATTGGCAGACCCATCTTACTTTGGAAATTCTAGTATATTTTAGGTTAGTTATCCAGTCAGATGGTATAAATGAGTATACTTATTTTACCTTTTTTGAACCTTTGTGGGACAGAATGCCTTTGAAGCCTTTTTGAAATTATTATTATTATACATAATTTCTTCCTGTATGAACAGATCATGCCTGTCATGTTTTATGCAAATAAGCAACTCGAATTCAAATAAGCAGTGGTGTATTGGCTCTTGGGTCAGGTCAGGAACAGCAATAAG